CCGGTCATCGATTGGCATATGTTAATTGACTTAGGACAAATGATAAATGTTGTATGACTGGACACATTACACGTAAGTTAACAAGAAGAGGAGTGTCTTAGTGTGAAAGTGATAAACAGATGACGCATTATCTTGGTTGCGACCTAATAGGTAAAACTAATAAATATTGTATGTTTACACGAAACCTATGGCAAGCCAGGTTTATTTCTTCATAAGTCCACCAGTCTCCCTTGTAAGTTTGGTGTTTTTAGAGGTATGTACGGTACTATCAAAGAATGGTTAAGTGGTTGAAACAAGTAGTAAGGAAACATTCCAAGGGAAAAACTGTTGTTGTGTACCCATAATAGAAGTATATCTCAAAGTACCAATTCTTACTTTTTTACTAATGGCCTAAACGACTTACGGTTTCCTGTCGTTGGACGCATTTTAAAGACGTTAGTGACTTTTATCGGAAACTTGTATGTAGTGCTCCGGTCTGGTCATTGAGTTCCCTCCTGTCCAACGATATCGTGAACTGTTTATAAGAACCCAGCAAATGTGCGTCCGAAGTATGTAGTCGTCGCGCACTAATTAGTTCTTAACAAAAGTCTTATTATTCCTTGGAACTGATGAGAGGATCTAATAAAGGGAAGTTCAAATCTAAACGTTATAATAAAGACGCTAGCTCTCTTGTCCTTATCTGGATGGATATACAATAAGTACCCTTTCGCTGCCGTATTATTGTAATAAGAATAGAGCAAAAGTCCTATAACTTTTAGATAAAAGTTGTTCTATTAGAACATTATCCGAAACGTGGTTCAGACGGGAGAAGTACATATATTATTATGGGAACGAGGCACGTAGTGTAATCACCGGGACACAAAACAGTCCTTTACCGTCTCCTCCTGAACGAATCACAGGAAATATTCCCAAGAGCATATTAGGTAATTAAAAGAAGTGTATTTCCACACTCCGGGACTTGTTGTCCTCCCGTCGTCGCCCAACAATCCACAGTTTTTTAACATAGATTTTCCGTTTGGGTGGCGAAGTGGGATGTGTGTTTGTGGCTGTGGTGTGGTGTTGTGTGTGTGTTGTGTGGTGGTTGTGTTGGTTGTGGTGTGTGTGGTGTGTTTGTGTGTGTTGTGTGTGTGTGTGTTGTGTGTTGTGGTGGTGTGGTGTGTGTGTGTGGTGTGGGTGTGTGGTGTGTGTGTCGTGTGTGTGATTGTGTGTGTGTGTGTGTGTGTGGTGTCGGTGTGTGTGTGTGTTGTATGTGTGTGTGTGTGTGTGGTTGTGTTGTGTGTGTGGTGGGGTGTGTGTGTGGTGTGCCCTTACTTGTAATCTGTCCAGACGACCTGACCCCCGTCTGTGTGACGGCCGTGGGACAACGGACGGTCTTGATGGGATATTAAACGATAAAGAAATAATGGTCTTTTGTTCCCAGGTTGACACACCTCCTACAACTCCTTAAACCAGTCATGTCAAAAGAGCTAACGATTGTTGTAAAAAAAAATTAACGATCAAGAGTCCTTGTGATTTAACGTTAGTTTTTGGGTGGGTGGGTTTCCGTTTTTGTGGATTAAAGGACATTATTCTTGAGTTTTGATGTATTTGTGAACGGTTTTCGTTTAAACGGTCGCTTATGTCTATTTGTGGGGTGAGAAGTATTGATCTAAAAATGGTGGGTTGGTATGTGACG